AACATCTTTCATTTTGATCGATTTGAGAAAGATGTCCACAAAATCAAAAGTTTCGCCGGAGCTTCCGCTGAAGATCCGGTTGTTCATCTCCGTCATGACTTTCTTCGTCGACCTCTCTTGCCGCCCCAACTTCACCATCAACCGTCGTATCTTCAACCTCTTGGACTTCAAATCGCCTCCCTCCAAGAAACCCATTAACGACGTCAAGTCCTCCGATGTCACAGTCGATGCCTCCCGCAACCTCTGCTTCCGCCTCTACACACCCACTCAGGACCGCGACGGTGACAGCATGCCTATCATTATTTTCTTCCACGGTGGCGGTTTTACATTCATGGCTGCCAATTCCAAACCTTACGATGACTTCTGCCGCCGAATGGCGCGTGAGATCCACTCGGTTGTCGTCTCAGTCAACTACCGGCTCTCGCCTGAGCACCGATGCCCTGCCCAGTACGAAGACTGCTTTGACGTCCTGAAGTTCATCGATGCCAACGATAGCTTTGAGGGTTTTGATAACGCAAACCTAAAACTTTGCTTTCTCGCCGGAGATAGTGCAGGTCAGATTTTTTCTTTTTTGCTTTTATTAAGAAATTAAGAAGTCAGTACTTTTTCTTTAGATAATTGAAGTATTTTTTTTTTCTTTCCTTTGGTCTTATATAAAACAATTTTTTTATGGGCACCCGCACCCGCAGCTTTAGTTGTCTTGCTTCGGTGCGTCTAATTTTTTGTTTTGATCAGAATTAAAGCTGTAATAGTAATCCTTATTCTCCCTTTCTTCCAAATTTCCCCCCAGTTCAAGAATAATAAAAAAAAACAATTTTTATATGGAATTTTGTAACGAAAATGATATAAATACATCGAAAGGTAAGTTTAGTATTATTGGCGTCTAATTTATATGAATTCACTCTTTCAATTTTAGGTAATATTAGTTTTGACATTTTAATTATATCATAATTAATTTTTTTTAAAGTGTTTTAAATTTAATAAATATAAATTTGTAACAATTTCTAGGTTTTTAAAAGGTGAACGTGCAGCTTGTTTGCAGGAGGAGATTCCCGTTTTATAAACCGGTTTTTATATTAAAAGATTTTTTCAATACGTGTCTTAAAATATAATTAAGTTAATAAATATTTCTTTTATCATAAATAGATATAAAAATTAATATTAATTTTAATATAAATATTAAGTGAATTAATTTAATTAGATAATTGATAAATTAAATATTAATTTTTATTTTTAATA